TACCTACCATATTTATCGATATCTGTATTAATAATTCATGTAATTCGTAAATATTGTCGGTCTAGTCACTAAGAACATTTAGATAAAAAACCTTTCAACTTCCCGGACGAAAAATTCGAATTTAGTTCCGTCGCATGCAATCGAAGTGAAAGAATGGACCCTCCTTTTATTTCCTTCAAAGATATATGCTTCTTCTTCTGCTAAATTTTCCTCGTGCGTCTCAGACTAATGTGATAGTCCTCTGTCGCTAACCCAATTCATTTCCTTTGATGAAAAAATAACTTATTCCACATCTTGCTCGTACGTCTTCTTTCGGAAAGATTATTCTTCTGTCTGAAGCCATCACTGGATTATTTCCTGAGGCGCAGACATCGTAAGGAATTCATATATATATATATATATACTACATATATATATATATATATATATATATATATATATATATATATATATATATATATATATATTATATATATATATATAACATATTATACATATATATATATATATATATATATATATATATATATATATATATATATATATATATATATATATATATATATATATTATGAAATGATTACATGAGATAAGAATATATTCTTATCTTATTGTATATATGCATATATATATATAATATATATATATATATATATATATATATATATATATATATATATATATATATATGTGTGTGTGTGGTGTGTGTGTGTGTGTGTGTTGTGTGTGTGTGTGTGTGTGTGTGTATGGCATGTAACTCGGATAAATTTTTAATAGAAATGCATTTTCATTTCCTTATTAACGTATAAAAGGCTCAGCTACGTTGTGGGAGATTATCAATAGATTTGCTTTTGAAAAGATACGGGATACCACCGAAGGAATCCAATTTACAGCACTGCATTAGGCAAGGAAAGAAAAGAACGTGAAGGGGAGTGTGTGTGGGAGGGGGAGATAAGGAGAGAGAGAGAGAGAGAGAGAGAGGAGAGAGAGAGAGAGAAGAGAGAGAGAGAGAGAGAGAGAGAGAGAGAGAGAGAGAGAGAGAGAGAGAGAGAGAGATGCAGCAGCCCCTAATTGTCGTATTACATAGTTGCAGAGCTTTATAACCATACAAACATGAGCTTCTGCATACTCACGACTATGGGCTACGAAAACACCAATAAAAAGGCATCATCAGCCTTGCCAGCTCTTCGAAGGCCAGAATGGTGATGCTGCTTTTTGCGTAAATCGTCAATTCACTGATTTATGTGTTACGTGTTGACCCGGGGGCTCCCTGCTGAGAGGGCGCGCGCTAAAAGGAGCCAGTTGTTAATATCTAAAAACACTCTGTTACATATGAATATTTTCAAGATACAATAACAACTTATTGCGGAGGAACACCAGCAGTGATCGCAGGAACTAGGAGAGGAGGAGGAGGAGGAGGGAGGAGGAGGAGAGGAGGAGGAGGAGGAGGAGGAGGAGGAGGAGGAGGAGGAGAGGAGGAAGAGGAAGAGGCCTGCCAAAGGCTGAGGTGAAGAAATTCCTCTCCATCAGTGAGCTTTAATGGGGTTTCCGAAGACCACGCGAGTCCTTGGGGGAAGGAGGTGAAAGGGAGACTTTTTTCTGTACGATTGAAATCCTCCGACTGTTTCAGAATGAATGCATAAAACTAACTTAGAGTTACAAGGATAATGTATTTATAACATACCAGATAATTAATTTAAATTAAATACATTTATTTAAATACAAATCTCTGAGTCTAGCCGCCGTGGTGATCGGACGTGTTTTGCCTCCTCTCCGCCGCAGCCTTGCCACTCAGCAAACCATGCATACTCATGGTCCCGCAATCAGAGGGTGATCTGACCCCTACCCCTGGGTCACAGGGGGCCAGCCGGGGGGCCTCCCGGGTGCTTCCTCGGGCAGCTAGCCCGGGCTCTAGTCCCCAGAGCGAAAGGGGACCCCTGGCCCAGGGTAATGCGGCCCCTCCCAGGGTACGGGACCTTAGCCCAAGGGATATGGGCCCACGGCAGCATGGGTCAGAGCTGCCTCCCCGCCCACGAGAATGGGCAGCCCCATGGCAGCCAGGGTCAAGGCTGCCCCCCCGCCCAGGGAAAAGGGCGTTTAAACAACCCGGACAATGAAAACAGTGAAAAAACAGTGAAAACAACTGAAATCAGAGAAAACAATGAATACAACACAGAAACAAACAGTGACGACAATAAAGCCATCTATCAGGCAGGCAACACTACCATAGTGCTTAACACGATTCTTTGCTTTATAAACGACAAAAAATCATGGGCACGTTTAGTGTTGTGTAACCAAATTAAGAAACTGTATAGCGAAGAAATAGAAAATGCCTACAACATCGTTCTATTTTTATCGGACTCCAGGAAAACTAGAACATGAATAAAGACATCAAAAGGATGATAAATTTCACAGTGCACACAATGATCGATCAGTGCCTAAAGAACGACACTTTAGTGTTTGCCACAACAACCACAGACATCCCCGCCACTGACTGGTCTCCGCCACCAAAGAAAACAAGTATCTCACCTTTTGTGAAAATCTTTCAAAAACAAAAACATCAAGGTATGCAAACACAGCATGAACTCTCTTTCAGCAATCAAGATCTAATTGAAAATAAAATTGATTTGCTAATCGGAATGTTCTCCGAGCAAAATCTG